GAGGTGCGGGGGCAACACCGAGGGTTGCGATCCCGTTGCCGGACACGGAAAAAAAAAAAAAAAAAAAAAAAAAAAAGAATGGTTGGCTTTCCAGGTTCAGAGAGGGCCAAGGCTTCGGTGATCCTTTGCCCCTTAGAAAGTAGCCATGAGCAAATGTTAGCGATTTGTTAATTACAGTCTCATGTCTAGTTTTAGCATCTTTAATTCTTTGGCTCTGTTCTTATCTTTGAAATCTATTGGCAGCTGCCAGCCAAGCCCCCGTTCTGCCCAGCCATTGTGAGCAGATGCCACCCTGGAGAAGTTCCTGGTTTCTGTGCCCTTGTGAGACTGTTTTGAGGGACCACAACCTTTTTCCTTCTCTGAAACCTTGGATTAAGGCTGTATCAATACGTGGTGTATTGTGGAATTTATTATAAAGCCAGTCTGTCTTGAAGTTCGTCTAATGTGATTAATCATTAAGAGTACGAGAAAGAGCCAGTTAGCATATTTTCTCATCTGTCACAGGCCCTGCCAGCCCTACCAGCCCTGGGCTCAGTAGCCTCATGGCAAGACATAAAATAGCACTCAAAATTCCCCAGAAGAACTGGAGACCTGGTCAGTATTAACCCAACCTTTGATTGTCTTGCCCCACCCATTTCCTGTCTTTGTTTCTTGTCGCTTGAACTCTCTGCCATCTTATTTCCCTTCTTCTCTGTAAGTGTTCCATTCCACCTCCCCTCATTCACCTCCCACCTGTTTCTGTAGCAGTATTGGTCTCTTCAGGCACATCTGTGGTATAGCTTCTCCTTTGGTGAATTTTCTTAATTGTCACAGATTTTTAACCTGAATTTCCTTGGTACTAATTTCGCACTTTTGGTCAGATGGGATCTCTATTGCTCCTACCCCTCTGGGCCAAACAGGGGCCCTAGACTTCCAAGGATGGAGGAATCCATGACCCCTTCTAAAAAGAATTGAGGGCCTTGCCAGAGTGAAAATAGTGGCCTGGAGGGTGGATGGAGGGGTGGCGGCATCTTTAGACCTAGATCCAACTTTGGGGAGGCACAGTTTGAACTTTTCTTTACACCCAGAACCCCTGCTGTCCCAGGAACCTAGGACAGGGCTCTTGGGAGTCCATAGAACAGCTGGATTTTTAGACTGCAAAGACCTGACTGCCCTGTCCGCCGCGCACTGACAGATCCCACTAGACAGCATGCTTTGGAGGAAGGCATGCAGGGAACAGCTGAGCCATTTGGACTTGAACTCTGGGAGGCAGAAACCCCGCCCTGTACTGGTTGATGTGATATCTTTTTGTAGCATACACCAGTGTATTTCCACACTTGCCTTTTTAGCAATCGTTGGCCTTGAGGTACCTTCCTGCCACACCTTCAGAGCCATTCTTCCTACTTTGGAATAAAATGGGGGTGGTTTGTGGATCTTTATTGTCTAGGGCTAGGGAGCAGGAGCCAATGCGTCCAGACACCCAGGGGCACTGATACTGCGTGTTACCACATGACTACCTTCTCTCACACATTCACTTTCAGTGTCCTGTGAAGCACACACCTTGACCTAACTGGGTACAAGTGTCTCCACACATATTCCCCCCACCTTGTGTAGGGAAGGATCCCAGGCCAGGGAAGCAGCACCCTCTAGTGGAGTCAGGAGTGAATTCTTAGGTCGAGCTGGCCTACGTTGTTTGCTCCAGTGAATTTAAATGGTTTGATTTGCAAATTTGGATTTATAGCCATTGTTTCTGAACCATCAGTTGAATAAATTGAGCTTTATTTTATTTAGAAAATTATATTTTGTAAAGGGATTTGACATTCATTGTTACAGGTAACAATCCCTTTTTTTATATTTCTTGCTCAGAGATTCTCAAACTGCTCCATGGCCAGAGGCTGGACTTACTGCCTCAGAAGCAGCTGGGACACTTTTGAAAATGACAGATTCCTGGGGCCTACCCCAGGCCTTCTGAATTAGGACATTTTTTTAAGTCTCTACGATAATTGTGATGTGTGTATTTTGAAACCACCGTCTCCTAGACAGAGGCTTTTGTCTTAATCAGAGATGATAGCATTTGAAAATATGTGCTGAACTAACTCAGCATATGTATGTGAAGAGCAGAACTTGTCAAGTCTAAAATAAAGTCATGTTTGTTTATATCCTACCTTATTCCAGAGAAGATTTGGAGACCTATAGGATATACCTAAAACAATGAAATGTGAAGAAGTGAGGACCAAGAACAAATCAAATCAGAGTCAGTACCAGGAAAAAGAAACCCAAGTGCAAGGTACAAAATCCCACAGAAATGCTCCTGGGGAATCCCTAATTTGTCTTTGAACACCAGCAGCGAGAGCAAAGAGAAGCACGATCTGTTAACTGTCTGAATGGGGCGTGGGGGCATCTTATTTGTTCAGGGGAAACCCAGACCTTTAATACTGCCTGCAAGCTTGCCCGTAACCCTTTCTGGAAGCCAGGTGAGGTTGTTTTCCTGGGTCGTCCTGGCTGATCTTCACAAACACTCAGGTCCCATATTATCCTCCTGTGCAGACGAGGGGGCTGAGCTTTAGTAACTTTCCAAAGGCTTCATAAAGAGTCCTAGAGGCACCGGCTCCTTGTCTGGCTGGCTTTATCGCCCAAGCTCATAACCACTGCACTAACTTGCCTCCTGTACTTCCCCTGAGATGTTCTGCTGGGGTGTGCAGGGGTAGGGGGGTCATCAGCAGGTGTGTAGGAACCAACACAGCGTAGCCTGCCGGCATTGAATATGGAGTTATAAGGCATTTGTTGCAGACTATTCGGACCTTACATGGCAAGTTCTTTGTTCTAGAATATTTTCTTGGTTGGAAGCGGGACAGAGTATTTGGGGGGAGCTTCTGGAAGTGGAGAACGGGAGCTGTTCTCCAGCCTTGCCACTAGGGAGCAACATAACCCTATATGTGGCTGGTCTGGCCCGAGTTCCACTCTGTCTAAGGCCTGCTGGAGTTAGAAGAGGAGGAAACAACTGCAGATTTGGTTAGGTTCCTTTTAGATCCAAAGTTCCCTGCTCAGTAGCAGCTCTGGGCTCTTCTTGGAGCTCTCAGTAGGGCCACAAAGGATCTCTGAAACCCTTGCTAGTTCGAATTCCTAGGACTCCCCTCCCCTCTCAGTCCTTCCCTCAGCACATAGACACATTGCAAACAAGCATGGAAAACATTCTCAACATGTGGTGTCATTCCCCCCTTTTTGCCTCCTTTCATGTGGCACATGGGAAAGGAGGGTGGGGGTGAATCTGGTGGACAGTTGGCCCCCTCGGGTGCAGGTGGGAAGTTCCCCACCAGACTGTCTGAGAGCAGCCCCTCCGTCCCTCATCCCTGTTCCTGTAGCACAGGGTGTTCAACCTTGGCTCTACGTCAGGATCCCCTCAGGAGCTTTTAAAAATACCCACGTGTGCATCTTACCTTGGCCCATTCTGATTGACTGGCCTGGGGTGCAGCCTGAGTGTTGGGAATGGCCCAGGTATGGCTGACAATGACTGTGCTGGCACAAGAACGTTAACCCAGGCTAGGCCGTCCCCCATCAATTTCCCTCTGGCCACATCAGGGGAACCACTGCCCTAGACCAGCGGGGGTGTGGTGGCTAATTCTTCCATCTGGTTTGGGAAAGAACCAAATCCTTGGCCACTGGGTGAACCTCCTTCACTGACACCTCTCTCTCTTCTGAGTGAAGTGCCTGAATGTGACAGGCGCTGCCTGCCCCTCCAATGCACCTCCCAGCCTTCCCCACTGTGCCCTGTCTGGTGCTCCATCCTCCCTGGAACCTTCCAGAGCATGCCACACTTGTTTGCATAGCTGTGCTTTTGCACAAGATGTTTCTTCTGGGATGTGCCACAGAAACCCAAGCTATCCCATGTCACCTCCAAGAAGCCTGCCTGCCCCCGCCACCCAACATACCTGTAGTACTACATGTTGCCTGGGGAATGGTAGTTGTTCTTTACCGCAGGGACCTTTGTGCATCCGTGCAGATAATGTCAGTAGCTGTTGGGAAATGGCCTACAGGAGGACACTTGAGCCCAGCCCCTGCAGGTAACAGACTTGGAAATGGGTGCAATGGTCCAGCAAAGTGGTTGTGGCCAGAGCCATTGATGCCACAGGCCATGGGCTTACAGGCTCTCATTGACAGCACTGGTCAAAGGACAGGCGTGGGACCCCATGAGGAAAAATGTGTCAACCAGGACTGGGAAGAGAAAAGTAGAGTAGCTAACTTGTTTAGGTTTTAAAGCTAAAAGTCCTGAATCCTGCTAACTCCCTCAGTCCATAGTAAACCGGATGGTTGGTTACCCTAGATAAGCTAAATGCTAAGATGGTCATGACTAATGCAGGACACCCAGGAAGAGGAGACTGTGGCTGTGGAGGCTGACTCCCTGACTTAACAATTCCATCAGTGTGGCTCAACTGCCCCTCTTTCCAGTTGCCTGTGACATGGAGGCCCCTCCTGGAGGGCTGACACAGGCTTGACCAGGCCTCAGGGGGAAGTCCTCGACCTGCCTCAGAAGAGAGTGGATGACAGCACAGGTGGGACATTCATCTTTTTGTATTCAGTGTCCAGCTCCCAGGGCCCTGCCTCATGTTGCTGTATCAGGGCATGCAGAAGGGCCTGAAAACGACTCTGCAGCTTGCAGTGATTACAGAAGCTGGAGCAGCAGCAAACCAGCCCTGCTGGTGGTAGCCACATGGCACACACCTCTCTCAGCTGCCACTTTCTCCTCTTAGAACGGGGTAACATGGGTCCCATGTCCTTTCCAGGGGTGGACACGAGGCCCAAATGCCCTAATGCTGTGGCAGACTCCAGAGGTCTGAAGCAGGGATTCTCAGCCGTGGCCGCTTCCTGGAATCACCTGGAGAGTTTTAGAAGTCCTGATGTGGGTCTTGCCCCCAGAGGCTCTGAGCTATTTGGTCTGGGGTGGGGATTGGGCTTTGGGATTTTTTAAAATTTCATTTTTAACTTTCCAAGGCCACTGCTCTAAATGCCTTCCAGGTGTGATTCCTGTTGAGCAGGAAAGATCTACTCATGTGAAACAACCACAGGACCAAGTAATGTGCAGAATCGCCTATGTTGAGGGATGACAGTTGAGGGCAGCTGTCACTGTGGGGGCATTAACGAGGAGGGACTTTCTGGGAGAGCAAGGTGATGGGCATCCGATGTGCAGAAGGAGAGAAGAGTCGTGGGAGAAGTTGAGGGGAAGGGGCAGTGTGGCGGGGTGCAGAGGGCGGCTGGGAGAGCCGCGGCAGGCAGACAGGCAGCCTATGTGGCTCGCAGCTTCCCCCACTGGCTCCCTCCCTCCGAGGCCTCAGAGGTCTGAGATGGAGCTGAAGCCTTGGGGGTGATAACTCAGAGACAACAGGCGAGGGATGGGCAGAAGGGAAGCGATTCCACTCCCTCCCCTCTCCTGCCCATGGAATGGTTTCCACATTCTCTCAGGAAAGATTGCTTGGGCACAGCCCAACCTCTGGCACCTTTTGGCGTCCTCTGTTAAGAATTTCTCAGGCTCAGGGTTTGTGTAGGGACTGAGGCAAGGGGTGGGAGCATGGGGTCCTTTGTAGGAGAGAACAATCATCACTGCCCCAGGACCTCTCCATATTGTTGTGAATGTCAAAAGATAAAACCCTGAAGGCAAAACCTTGATCACTCCCGGGTGCTGTCCAGATTCTTGTTGGTATGTGCATAGAGTGAGCATACGTTCCCTGTCTGTGGTGACTTCATCCAGGAAACCATTTCCTTTTTTTCACCTGTGGCTGAGGGGCCTCTCTTACCTCAGAACAGGTGCCCTGGGAGACCTTCAGAAGGCAACCCCCAGAGCTGAATTCCAGAATGGTAGCTGTGGCCAGCTCCTTGGATGAGAAGACACCTCAGAATAAATTTTCTAAGGTTACCTACTTAATTAAAGATGTAGGAGACCTAGGACATTCTCTTAAGGGAAAAAAAAATATATCTCAAGCGCAGTTTTATGTTAAAAGCCCACCCTTTTTAACATTAAAAAGTCAACCTAATAATTACGAGAGATGTCATAAGGCAGCAATTAGGTGCCGAGCAAGTGGGTTAGATATCAGAGACTTACATTCAGAGGCTCGAGAGCGGATCCAGAGGGTTGGGAGTGTTGGAGGCGGCTTGCTGGAGGGGGAGGCCTTGAGCAGACCAGAGGGTGGTACTGACTGGTGTTTCTGGGGAAGCTGGGGAGGGGGGCAAGTTTACAGGGAGGAGTGTGAGCTCCATTCTCAGCAGGCTGGGTTTGGGGTGGCCCGTGGAAAGAATAGGGAAGTATTGAGTGGGAAGCAGGAGATGGGGAGATGGGGAAGGCCAGGAGGCCCTGGTGTGAATGCAGATGTAGAGATCCTTCACTGTGATCCTGAAATCAGAAGGGCTGGGGAAGGATCCCTGTACACATCCTGGATTCTGTGGACCCAGAAGCTGCTGCTCAGGAAGGGGGGCAGCCTCTTCTTGGGTATAAGTGTGCAGGAGAGAGGGTGTCCTGGGGTCTGGGTTGCCATTGTCTCCCAGGAGCACCCAACAACCTGGACTCCCCTCTCACCACTCCCAGACCTGGTGAAACCACCAACTGGCAGAAGTGTAGGGGGCAGAGGCTGGCACTGCTGCATACCCAAGAGCTCCCCACAGCTCATTCTCATGATGTTGACATGCTGATGAGACCTAGAGGAGAAACTGTCAGTCTGGTGTGGGGTGGAGGACAAACTCCACTCTCCCAGGAGGACCTGACCACCAAGGACCTTGGACATGATCTTTTGAGATTCAATGTAGTATGATGGGGGACTGGGGGTGAGATGGTGTTTGAGATGGGGATGGCACACATGGCTTAGGATCCTTTTACTGCTTATTTGCAGCCTAACCTTGGTCTTAATCACCTGAGCCTCAGTTTCCTGTCTGTATAATGTGAATAATAACAGCTACCTCATAATGACCGTTCATGTGCCTATACAAATAGTGGTTCTTGTATTTGAGAGCTTGTCAGGGAATGGAAGTGATTTCGTAAGGAGTCAAGTAGGCCTGGGTATGAAGATCAGCCCAGCCCTTTATTAGTTGTGTGACTTTGGGCAACTCCCATCACCTTTCCCAAGCCTCTGTCCTCTTACCTTAGAGGGATGGGTATTGCCCATCTCACAGGGTGGCTGTGGCCAGTGAACACTGCAATGCATACGAAGTGCTGACTGCACAGCCTGGGACATAAAAAGATGGTAACTGAAATTTTGTTGTTGTTAATTAGCACTGCCTAAGACCTGAGTCTGATCCCTTTTTATTTAGCTGATTAATCATTAGTCAAGGATCTGATATCCCAAAAAAAAAGCACTGCAAGTATTTGCCAGTTAGACTTTATTGTTAAGAGCTATAATGTTGTGGACATAATATTGAGTTTGGCATTGGAAGACCTGAATTCAAATCCTCACTTTATTACTTATTAGTACTCACTCTCTCCTCCGTCAGCCTCACTGTCCTCATATGTGATATGGGAATGATAACAATGGCCTTCACAGAACTGTGGTGAAGACAAAAACCATCAGGCATGTGGATCCATGAGGATGCTCTGGGCTGCAGGTCTGGAAATCCCAACTCCAAGTAGCTAAGCAATAAGAACTCGTGCATCTGGGGCAGCCTGCAGGGCTGGTTGATTTAAGACTCAGTGATGTCTTCGGGGGCAGGCTTGGGACTGCCTAAGCTCCCTGAGAGCAGTGGAACTATGGGGAGAGGATGTAGGAAAGAGAGAGTGATGATTGACAGGCCAGAGAGGAATTGTTGCCTGCTGACGTCCATTCATCCAGGACTGTAAGCCTTGGAGTGCAAACATGGTTCAACAAGGTCCCACCTGCGCTAGGGATCTAGCGCTGTGTAACAAATGACCACAAAACACGGGGACCTAAAACAACAAGACTCAGTTGTTACACCTTGTGGATTCTAAGATTTGGGACAGGGCATGGCTGGGATAGCTCGCCTCTGCTCTGTGCTGTCTGGGGCCTCAGCTGGAAGATTCCAAGGGTGGGGAGGAGAATAATCTGAAGATTCATCAACTAGTCTGGTACCTGATGTTGGCTGAGCCCTGGACTGGGGCCACCCACTGGAACACCTACACGAAGCTTCTCCAGGAAGCTTCTTCACAGCATGGTGGTGGATTCCAAGGATGAGCATCCCAAGGGACAGAGCCAGGTGGGATCTGTATCCTTTTTATAACCAAACCTCTGATGTTATGGTGCACCGTTCTGCCATATTCCTTTGGCTGTGGCAGTCACAGGCTCCCAGCTACCTCTCAGTGCGAAGAGTGTTGGACACACTGAAAGAGCAGGCAGTATGGGACAAACAGAAGGGGGCGGCTGTCTTTGGAAAGTACAATCTGCTGCACTCCCCTTGAATAACGCACATGTCTAGCTGAGAAGACATACAAAGCAGCTCGCAGCAGTAGAATGCACAAGCTCTGTCAGCATAGGTACAAGGTACTTTGGGCCACTGCAGAAGTAGCATCTACTCACCCTGGGACACTGGGGAAGGCTTGTAATCTGAATCTCAGATGAGTCAGACTTGACTAGGGGGAGCCTAGGAGGGAGGTCTCAGCAGAGGGAACAGCGTGAGCAGAGGGCAATGCTCTGGGCAGGACAGGAGGATTCTGCAGCTGGAGCACAGGGTTGGGGTGGGGCGTGGGTAGGGGAAGAAAGGCTGGAGAGGTGGGCTGGGGTCAGCCTCGGGTGGCTGAGAGCAGGCTCATTGCTCTCTGCCCACCTCCATCCCCTGCCCCTCTACACACAGTAGGCACTTAGCAAATATTGGATGGAATTGTAGTGAGCAGTGCATACTGAAGAGGCAATCATATCCCACAGGGATGCCACAGGGCTTCCTGGAGGTGGTGTGATGAAGGCGGATGAGAAGTCACTTTCATATTATAGGAACTTGAGGTCCTTTTTCTCAGCTGTTGCCTTGGCAGTACTTTTCAATGTCTCTGAGAGTCCACAAGAGCTGGTAGCAACCCTGAGTCACTTCTCTTTCCCATGCCTCACCCTCAGCAGGATTCTTGGGTCCTCTTTCCTCCCTAAGGGATCCTGGCTCACACTCTCTTCTGCCCCTTGTAGGGTGGGGAAGATGCATCTGGCTGAGGAGGCAGCAGAGAGGAGTGAAAGGGCCAGGAGGGAGGGGAGGAGGGGAAAGAAAAGGACAAGGAGAGGGAGGGGAGGTAAAATGGAATCATTAAGTGTATGCTCAGTGCCAGAGCCAAAAGCCCATACTGCAAATTGCTTTTTTCTTCCCGCTTGTCCCAGGGAAAGATCCAATTAAAATAGCACCTATTGGCAATGGAAGAGTAATTGCAACAGGTGGCTTATTAAGCCTGTCTGCAGAAGCATTCGGGGGCAGACGTGGCTTCAAGAACCTCTGTGTGGGCTCAGACACTCCTGAGCAGGGGTCTGATGTCACCAAGCAGCAAAGGCTGGCAGGATAGGGGTTGCCTTGGTGTCTTGCCTGCCATGGACCCTCCTCAGTGGCCTGAGAAGGGCCAGACTGGTCTCTGTGGGGAGCATTCTGTGCCGTGGTGGGGTAGTTTGGTGGGCTGAGACATGGGGCTGATCAGATCAAAATTGTTCAGTTCCAAATCCCAGGATGAAGAAAAAGCAGGGCTGGAAGGGGTCTTAGAGACCACCAACCCCATCTTTCTAGGGGAGAGTGACTTGCCAAGGGTCACTCAGCCAGTTGGTGCTGGTGACACCAAGGCCATGGGTTCAGATCCCTATATAAGGATGGCCGGTTAGCTCACTTGGGAGAGCGTGGTGCTGACAACACCAAGTCAAGGGTTGATATTCCCTTACCAGTCATCTTTTAAAAATAAAGTCCTGGTTTTGTTCAGAATAAAGGTGGAGATACTGGTTAATTTCAGACTTTAACAGCAAGGATATTAAACACCAAGTCAAGGGTTAAGATCCCCTTACCGGTCATCTTTTAAAAACAAAACAAAACAAAAACCCAAGAAAGCACCAAATACGATGGTAGAAACAAATCAAAATATAGTAGTGATTAGAATAAATGAAAACGGATGAAACACACAAGTAAAAAGATTATATTTTTTAGGGCCGGCCCGTGGCTCACTTAGGAGAGCGTGGTGCTGACAACACCTAGTCAAGGGTTAAGATCCCCTTACTGGTCATCTTTAAAAAAAAAAAAAAAAAAAAAAAATCTAGCTATACGATATGTACCTAAAATGATATGGAAAACTTGTAAGAAACAGGTTGAAGAAAAAATACACAAAGAAAATATTAACCAAAAATAAAGCTGGCATAGAAATATTAACATCCAACAAAATATGCAGCCTTTATTTCATACCTGCTGTATGCAGAGCCCTGTTCTAGGCCTGAGGGGTGATAGAGGAGAAACAGATACATGACTCCTGTCCTACAGGACTATGGTTAGGGTGGTGACCACATGATTCCAAAATAACTTTAGTCGACAAATACTTGTTCCAACACAAGATGATATTTTTTAAAAAGGGATAAGGGAGTGGAGCATACTTGGAGTTCCAGTAATATAAACATTTATTGATCAATGTTGAATTGGTTTCCAAAGATTACCCCCCCACCAATGAACCATGCGTCCCTGTATTCATGCCCTGTGTAGTCTCCTCCCACATTGAATCTGGACTTGCCTTGTGACTCATTTTAATAAATAGGATGTGGCAGAAGAGAAAATATGCTGATTCTGGGCCAATTATTAAGGCCTGAAAACTTCTGCTTTGCACTTTAGGGAAGAAAGCCCCCACGAAATAAGTCCAGCTATCCTGCTGTCTAGACTGCGGAGAAGCCACATGGAGAAGGAGATGCCTTGAGATTACAAGGAGAGGAAAGAGATCCAGCCATCTCGCCTGAGCCCAGCCTTCCAGCTGTCCCTGCCAATGGCCAGACTTGGTCGACTTCTAGATGGCTGCAGTTCCAGCAGACGTGCAGCAGAAGGACTGCCCAGCTGAGCACAGTCAACCTGCAGGATCATGAGAGATAATAAAATGGTTTTCATTTCAAACAAGAAAGTTTGGGGGTTGTTTCTTTATGCAGCTGTAGAAAACCAAAACAATCACTTTCAACTTGTGCTTGACACTGTGCTGGCTAATCATTTTCATAAATTATGTTATTAATCCTTTCAACAATACTTAGAGGTATGTGTAACTAACTCCCACTTTACAAATGAGGAAACTGAGGCTTGGAAAGAATGTCACACAGCTAACAAAGGACAGAAGCAGGGCTTGAGTCAAGGGCTTCTTAATTACGGACTCTGCCCTCCCAACCACTGCACTATGTGGCCAGGTGGGGGAGTTGAGGAGTGAAAGACACAAGACATTCCAGAGCAAATCACAATGTGTCCCATGCTGTGTCTCTTCTAGTGTGACCTCTCTTTAAGCTTTCCCCTTTTTGTTTTTTCATCCTGTGCTACTAAGGAGGGAAATGGATTCTAGAAAGATGATCAGATAAGTGGGCAGATGATGTAGTTGGGGATTTGATTATAGTTTTGACACATTTCATAACAAGCAGTAATCATCCTCAGTATTCAGTTGTCATTGGAGAAAATGTAAATGCTGCATCTGCTCACTGCCTGTCTTTTCTTCCAGACAAAAGAACACATGTTCCTGACAAAGGAGTGTGCCTTGTCCCTCCCCCCAACCTCCATCTCAGTCACCACTGGAGAATCCTGTGCTTTGGGACAGGTGGGAAATACCTGGGTCTTTATGGGCTCTCCTCTCCCCCGCTTAGCCCAGGCAAGTTCCAGACTCTTCTGCATCCATCAGGTCTTAGGGATCATGTTAGTTACCATCCCCAGTTTCATGGATGAGAAAAAGAAAGTTCACAGAGGAAGTGTGGCTTCATCAAAAACCCACTGAGAGCAAGTGTCAGAGTCAGGCTAAGACACATCTCCAGATTCCTCCTCCGGTGCTGTCCAAACTCCAACACCATCTGCAGTCTCCTCCCCAGCCGCAAACAGGTTCTGAGACTTCTGATGGAGCTGATCGTAATCCAGCAGACTCTAAAAGTCTTGAGAACAGTCAGAATATGTTGAGAACGGAAACTGGCCCAGGAGCCCAACAGTCACCATGGACAGCTCAGGTGACCTATTTACTGGGGAGGCGGGAGGTGGGAGGCTGGTTGCCCAGCAAAGCAGAGTGTCATGGAAGAGAGAGAAAAATATTGGAACGACCTTAGAGACCATCTAGTCCAGCCTCCTCAGTCCACACGGGAGGAAAATAGAGAAGTGACTTGTCCAGGATCACACAGCCAGTCAGCAGCAAGCCAGAGACGGGGGCCAGGAGCCTACTCCTCACACCTCTTCGAGGCCCTCGGATACTTGGTCCCCATGGCTAATTAGTGGCACGGCCGGAGTTTGAATCAAGGTCACTGAAATTAAAATCTCCTGCCCTTGGGGATGACAAGAAAAGAAAAGAAAGAAAGGAGAAATAAAGGAAACTGGAAGAGCACCTGGCCCTGATGGGAAGGTCTGTGATCTGGCCTCTAACTGCACGTTCTTGACAGGAGCTTCCTACTTCTCCAAGGTGATGTGGCCTTTCAGAGACAATTTAGTTACCATGGCGACCGCATTACAGGTTTCATCTCCATGGCAATTCTTTGGAGTTTTTCCACCCTCTGGTAAGTACACATGTGACTGCCCATATGTACATCCCAGAAAAATTAATATAAAATCACGTTTTTGGAAGTAGAGTATCTCATTATCCAAGTCTGCAGCCAGGAGCATAACAAGACACATTCTAGGTTGGACAGGGCCCAGGGCATAAAGGACCCAGAGCGGTCTTCGGGGCAGCTCTGCCTTCTCACTGCCATTGCAAACCTCTCCCAATTTTACAGCTCAGTGCATCTTAAGTTCACCACAGTCACAGATAATCTCTCCTTTTCTGTATCTTCCCTAGTGTCCTGTCCATGGCAAAGCCTCAGTGTTACCTGCACTGACAAGAAGTGCTGGGGCAAGGAGAGAGGTGGCTGGTTCTTCTGATCACAACCTCTGTGGTACCCCAGTGGTGCCCACTTGCTTCCCTTGTCCAGTGCAGCCCACTTTTGGGCACCCCCGGAGCTGTTCCCTCCTTTTGTGGCAGACCTCACCTGCCTGATCTGTGGACTGTGGGCACCCCCTTCAATGTGACCTGATCTGCCATCCATTTTCCAGGAAACCCTCATGGTTTCTGGTCCAATGAAGACAACCCTTCTGTCTTCCAGCAATGCTGTGGATTTTCTTGAATATCTGTCCTGATGTTTATGATGATGTAGAGCTGGCTGGAATGAGTATTCAGTCCACCAGCTTGACCTAACCCTCTCTCTCTCTCTACTTTTAGTGTTTATCATCATCTTCTCTATTGTCATCATGGTAGTAGTAGTGCTATTTCATGTTTGATGGGTCACTGTCACATTCTGCAACAAAGCAGGAAGTGCCCACAGAAACGTTCCACCGGCATCCCCAGTAATGAAACAGAAAAATCAAGGCATGGTTTCATTTCAAAATTTCAATGAAAAGTGTAAAAGGTACCGGCTATGCACCTTCAAAATAGCTTTTGAACTCAGACTTGGATTTGAACTCTGGTTCTGTCAATTATCAGCTGTGGTTTTAGAGGAGTGACCAAAGCCATTTGAACCTTGTTTCATTAAGTGGACGTGACCACATGTCTTGCAGGAATTATTAGATGAGAGTTATGAGAAGAATCAGAAAGGATTATGAGATGAAATATGAAAAGTGCTTCACACTATTCCTGGCATGTGACGGAGCCTCTGTAAATGACAAGTATGCTTATTAGCACCTCAAAGGGGAATAATTCTCATGGAATTTTATTTGGATCTGACTAAAGTGAGTGCTCACCCTCCTCGTGTTTTGTTTATTTGATTAAATATCTTTGATCCCTATGAAGCATGAAGCCCCTTGAAAGCAGGGCTGTGTCTTCAACCAAGGTCGGTGGCATTCCTGCACTGAATCATGCTGGATGCTGTAGAAAACACAAACGTGGGGAAGACAGTTCTGGTCCTCAAGCGTCATGTAGTAGGGGAGGTAGAAGTGGATGCTAGTAACCATGACAGTGCAGAGCGAGGCACATGCCATGCACTGCGGCATGTGGCTGGGTCGTTAAGAGCGTGAGCTCAGAAACCAGTCTCCGGGTTTGGATCCCAGCTCTGCCACTTACTGGCTATACCACCTCAGACAAGTCTCTTAACCTTGCTGGGTCTCAGTTTCCTCAAGTGCAAAACAAGGATGATAATGGAAGCCACCTCTTAGGAGAGTTAATACGTGAACAGTCTAACACAGAGAAGGGCTCAACAAACGTTAGCTGTTGTTACCTAGAGGTACAAAGATTGTGTAGGACTGTGTGAGAAGCAAACGTCATTCTGTTTGGTGGATGAGGTTGTGCTTGAGCTTGACCTTGGAGGATGAGTAGTTCTCAAAGGGCACAGGAGGGGAAGAGAAGCATTTGAGGGATGTAGAGTAACAGGAGCAGAAGCTTGGAGAGTGAGCTCTGCAGTGTTTTTAGGGTACAGCATGAGGGCTGGGTCACAAGAACACAGAGAGAAACACTGGGACATGGGCTGGTGAAAAGGTTTAGGACTTTGGACAGTTCCGTAGGCACTAGAGACCCATCACAGGCTACCCAGGAGGGGAGTGACGTGATGCCATCTATGTTCCAGGCAAATCGTCTTGGTGGCAGTGAAGGAGGGATCGGGGAAGAGGAAAGTGGGGGTGGGGGGAACCAAGAGGCCATTAGGGGGCTCTAGCACATCCCAGGCAAAAATCTCAAGGGCTTAAGCCGGGGAGGTGGACAGGAGGGGAGACAGCATGGACGTGGAATCTGCAAGACTTGCTGAAGGAGTGGGCGGAGTCAGACATGGTTTCCCTCTGGGTGGCTGGGAAGATGGCAGGGCGGTGCTCTTACAGGATCAGGGCCACAGGCAGGGGCCGGGCTTGGGGTGGAGGCCTTCCTGAGCTTGGGGTACGTGGCATGTTCCTTCTCCCCAGCCCTCCTCACAAGCCCCATAGAGCACCCTGCACAAGTCAGGTGTTCAGCAAATACCTCTGAGTAAGGAACCAAGGGAAGGAGGCCTCCGAAGCCCACCCCCATCTCCCTCCACTCCACATCCAGCCTCTTCCTCTCCTTCTCCAGACAATACAGGACTATGGGATGTGCGTGCTGCCACTGTGGGCACCCCTCAACATCCCCTCCTGTTTCTGAATCATTAGAGGGAAAATGCCCCCAACCTGTCTCGCAGCACCGCCTTCCTCCCCTGTTCCATCTCATTGAACACGTGACTCCCACCCTGAAGACCTGCCCAGAGTGTCCCTCCTGATGGGCACCACTGGGGCAGACAGTCATCATCTGAACATCCACAACCAGTGAGCCAGCACCTACCGAGGGCAGAGCCCTGAGCCAAGCTCGTCGAGCATTGTCTCATCACATCCTCTCAGCAAACGCGGGAGGTGGGCTCTCTCATCCCCATGTCACAGATGAGAAGACTGTGACTCAGAGAACTTAGCTGACATGCTCTTGCACACACAGCTGGTTCTGTGCAATCATAACGTCTCAACTCATTCCATTTCCTCTGCCTGCCTCCCACGCCAGCGCCCCCAACGATGTTTACAGAGACTTCAGGACACAAGTAGAAAGCAGGAGCTACATGTGACCAAAATACCGGGGACATCTGTCTTGTGATCAGCACCATCCGGCTGTCACTGAACACAAAGGGCCTCTAATTCTGGAGCTTGTTCCTATCCCAGTGATCGGGATGTCATTGGTCTGGTGTGCAACCCAGGCGGTGGGACTTTTCCAAGCTCCTCCAGGTAATTCTCATGAGCTGCCCAGGTTGAAACTCCTTGTTCTAACCAGAGGCCTTTCCCTGAAAGCATCATTTCCGGCCCCTCCCCCTCACTGCAGCTACCACAGACCTACTCTGGTACCTTAGCTGGATGGCGGGGGTCCCCACAGCCATGGGCCTCCCAGAAGGTGAGTCCCTTTTCTTGTTCCAGATCTTTCTCTTCACCCCCTTCCCGGGTGCCCAGAGCCTTCTTACGATCCAAGGCTCCCTGCCCCAGCAAAAGGCTGACCTTCTGAAAAGGACTCAAGTCCCCAAATTGATCCCACCTCCCTCCCTGGTCCTGATGGCAGAGCATAGCTGTTGTTTTTCCCTCCGTAAGGCCCGCTCAGAACCAGACAGGGAGGCTGGCTGGTTTCAGCAGGATGGAGGGGGAGGGTCAGAGGGTGAGAGTAGCCAGAAAGGAGTCAGCCACCATTCAAATGCTGGTAGCATCACCCCCTCTCACTGGGCCTCAGTTTCCTCTATTTCATAACGAGAGGGCTGCATGCAACCCCCACCCCCACCCTGCAGAGGGGCTAGAATTGCTTTCCTGAGCCCGGAGACTCTATTAACACCCACAGAATCATCAGGTTTCCCTGCTTTGGCCTGTGGCCAGGCTCTGTCCTGATGGCCAGAAGCTGAGATTAGCAATCGTAGATGGCAAACAATTTCATTATTCTGTAATATGGGGAGTGTGTTTGGTAGACAAACAAAATGGAATAGTTAAGAATTGAATAGTTTATGGGGCAAAAAATAATAAGAGTCGTGGTGGTGAATAATTGCAAAACATTGAGATGGGTTCCCCTCTGTGGGGATTTATAGGATGGTATGAGGCCTCATTGTAAGAGACCCCCTTGCCCACTCCCTGGTGCCAGCCCTCTCACTCCGCATCCCTCAGCTGATGGGCAGCATGGTGGAGCAAAAACACAGGCTGCAGCGGCAGACACACGGGGATCACATCCTAGGCAAGCCATTGCCTGGCTGTAATTAACCTCTCTGAGCCTCCGCTTTCTCATCTGTAAAATGGAAATAATCCCCAACCCATAGGTTGCTGCGAGGATTAAATAATGTTGGTTTATAGATGGAATTCAGTAAATATTGGTTTCTCCCCGCCCTACCGCTTCCCCACTTCCCCCATCACTTCTGATTCCATCCTGGAGTGTGAAAATGCTTCCTACAAAAGATCCCA